CCTCCCACAAGGACTCATTAGACTTTCTCTCTCTCTCCGCCAAAACCGTGAGTAACTACTTCTTCCGCGAGGATCTAAAATTCGCAAACACCCCTTCTTTTTTTTTGCAATCGCTTAAGACTTACCTCTCTATAATTATTTATAATTCTCTGTCGTGCTCTTCCCTTTTCTTCTTTCACACTTATTCCTTTTTTTCTTTTTCTCTCCCGCTTTCTCTTTCTACAATTACTCGAAGCGAAATAACGCCCTCGAGTAATTACCATCTCTCTCTGACCTTCTTCCTTCCACGATAACTCGAAGCGAGACACCGCTTTGAGTATCTCTTTCTTTCTCTACGAACTCGCGAAGCGTCAACCCGCTTGGAATAGTTCAATCTTTTCTTCTTTCCGCGATATCTTGAAGCGAAATCACGCTGCGAGTAACTCGCATCTCTTTCTTTCCCTGCGAACTCGGGAAGCGTCAACCTGCTTTGAATAGTTCGCGACCCCTCTCCTTTTATAATCACTCGAAGCGACTAAAACGCTTCAGCTCTCTCTCTCTCCCTCTCCCCTCCCCCTCTCTCTCTCTCTCTCCCTCCCACTCTCCTATTCAGTTCCTTGAGTTAAAACTTCACCATCCGAATCCATATCTCTCTCAACATCACAACATCCTGACTAAAGAGAATTTCATGCGTAGATGGTCAAGCGTAATCGCCATCGTACGGGGCGTCGGAAGAGAGCGAAGATCGAGGCGCTCCTTAAGGGAACTCCATCTCCTAACCGGGGCCTAAATACTGAAACGGACCCCTGCACCCAACCGGCTAGCTCTTGTGAAAAACCTAAAAACGAATTCACCCCCAGTACTTCCGAAATTCCTCTCATAGACTTGACGGAATCTTCTCCCATCACCATTCCCAGCTTCCCATCACCTTCCCACTACGAATTCACCCCCATTTCCTATTCCCCCGTTCCCCCAGAAGACGACACGGACTACGACGAAATCCTGAAATCATTGGAATACTATATCGAAATTAACAGGCCCTCTTTTCCCTCCTCATAATCACAACCATACACACACACACATACAACCGTATAGTAAAACATAGCCATATTCACGTAATCTCCGTCGTCAATTAACTATGCTAATAGATAAAAAGGATAATACAATCCAATTTATAATTTAGGAAATGTATAAAATATTGTAATCCATAAATTGTTAAGTTATATTA